TTATATGGTTTCATTATTTAATTATTTGTAATTTCTATTGGATAAAATTATGACCGAGGTCATAATTCATAGCTCATATTTTTATGACCTTATGACCTATAATAGTCATAAGGTCATAAAGGTCATAATAGGTCATAGGCCAACACTGCGGTAAATTGCATTCAGGAAGTATTTATTATCTAGAGTGATATCACTCAATCAACTTTTTTTTTTTACTATTCTATTGTTTTTTTATTTGTTTATTTTATTATTATTATCGGTTTTATTAAATCACACCAGTGGTGCTCAACACCACACTTGCTATATCTCAAAAAACTAAGCAATTAATGTTTGGTGTTCTAAGTAAAAATGGTCAACACTTCGCCCTATAACTAATTTGAACTCTTAACTTAGAACCCTTAACCTACCACTTTCTTGTCGTTGTTCTTGTCTATTATATTTGACTTTTTTGGCAACTGAAGCTCATCCGCGATTTCCTCACCAACATTTACCACTACGATTTGTACAGTATATATCCAATGTTTTTGAACGTAAAGCTCTTTTTACACGATTCTATATTGATAGTTCAATATTTTGATTATGTTTAGCCATGAACTAATAAATGCAAAAAAAAATTTTTTCGCATACTTTCGTTCTTTTTATAACGTCTTCTCAATACTAGCGAACATCCTCTTAGAAATAACATACAATATTAATAGCATAATAGACTCTAACATTTCAATAAAAAATAAATAAAAAAGACCATTTCGCAAATAATGATGCTTAGGGAACTATACATACTCTGGATTCAGGTAATAAGCTGTGGGCTAGGAAAAAAATACCTATCCTTTGGATTCAGTAGAAACTGTCAAGAGGTGGCTTGTGGTCAAACTAATTAAAACATCTTTACCTTTTTTTCGACTGATGCCATTTTTAGCAAGTTCAATCTTTTTGCGCGCCATTTAGTCGGTTTCAATCATCCGTTAACGATGGTAAGTTTAACAATTTTTGCGCGATTTGAGGTCAAAAATCCCAATATGAAAGGATGTTGTTTATTGAAAGCAAAACAAAAACATTAATACAAAAGATGATCTTTTTTACATATGAAGCTAAGGCATATCTGTTCTGCCGGAATATTACACTATCGCTATGTTTTGGACACTTTTAGCATCTTTAGATAATGTTCGTTTTATTGAAAAGATAGTAACACAATTATATTATCATGATTATTATTTATACGTATAGGCTTTTTTTTTTTTAATTGAATACCGTGTAAATTTCAGGCACGACATCGATGCCATAAAAAAAAAAAAAACCACCTTATAGTCACCACCAGTGAAGGAAATCTGAATTTTTTTTTTTGTTTTTTGAGAGCATAAATTTTAGAGTTAATGTTCTTATTAATAAAATTTTACTATATTCGAAAAAATATTATGTTCTCAAAATACTATTAAATATATTCAAAATTAACAAATTTTATGCTCTTAGAATGAGAACATAATGTTTAAATATTATGTTCTCAAAAAATGTTTTAATGTTCTCAAGAACGTTGAGAACATTAGATTTCCAACACTGGTCACCACTCTAAAATTTCGCTGGCCAATCAGATTTCAATATCAGGTGCAGCGTAAAAACAACGCGAAAAAAATCAAAATAAACAAAAAACCGGTTATAGCTCAACATTTTGCCAATGAAACTGCTTTCTGCGCATTAACAAAAAGTTTTCCTTGAGAAATTTTGGCATTAAAGAAATTCTTTAGCCTAACTTAATAGCAAAACTTAACCCTAACCTAACTTTTAGCGAAATTCTTAGTAATACAAACTCTTAAAAAGGCAATAGCCAATCAGAGTGAAAAAAACGAAAATACTCAAAAACTAGTGTTTAAATCGACCTTGGTGCACTAATTAAAAATGTTGGGAATGAAATTTTACATATAACAAATGCTAATTTGTTTTTATAACCTCTATCGTTAAGGTCCTAACCAGTGTTAAGAAAAACTATGAGTAACTGTTTACAAGTGTGCGTACAAAATGAGCTATGAATTATGACCTCGGTCATAATTTTATCCAATAGAAATTACAAATAATTAAATAATGAAACCATATAACAAATTAATAAATTTCAATACAATTTAATGCAAATTTATCAGAAACCCGCATATTAACCTAGCAATCAGAACATGTGTACCAGGTTACAGTTAAATATTAGTGATGCCGTATTAGTAAAATCGCTCAAAGAAAAATTTTTGTTAGTGCACTAAAGGTGATTTTCTATACAGATTTTGAGTTATGAGCGATTTTTGGCAGAACGAACGTTTTGTTTTGAATCTTCCTATCATGTTACATTACAAACTAATCTTGAAATCTGATTCGTATTCAGGAGATCCGCGTTACAAACCTGGTACACATTTTCCGATTGCATTAACCTGAAAGTATTACGCACAATTTTATGATACTATGCACAATTCAAATTAATTCAAATTGGAAATCACTATCGCACATTATCCGTGTGTATATTTTAAAAAATCCATACTACATGTCTATTTAAATACAAAAAGCGAGGATCTTTATAATATTATTTTCCATATCTTGGACTCATTGCTTGCTATTCATTACTATATAGTAATTTATGAGTTATCCCAAAGATAAATTACAAAATAATTCCGTTCAATAAAAAAATACCAAGGCATCATACCCGTAAATAATACTTATAAAATATGTTTAATTAACAGAATTAATTGGCGGCAATATACTATATACATCAATAATTGAACAAAATTTCCAATATTAATAATAATATTTTATGTTCATCTTTTCCCAACGCCAATTACACTAGGCCTTCCATTTTCAACAATAGATGTTCTGTGTTATTCGATTCCGATTCCATGAATGCTCATTTTAACAGTTAATAAGTACTTTACCTTTCCCAATTTATGTTCGTCTCCGATTCCTTTTTAATAACATACACCAACCAAATTTGTCACTATAGCATTACCCATAATGGCGATTTTCTGATAGTAAATGAATACCCTGTGTTCATTTTTTTTAGCTCTGATTCCAATTCATAACGATAACTGACCTTATCGTTTCAATTTCCATTTCAGCATATTACTGAATGCCTTATATTCACCTTTTTTTGATTCAATTCTACTGGTTTTTTTTTAGATAAATATTTTTTTTCATTAAAAATTAGTAAGTTCTGAATCGAAATATAGTGGCATTTCTAAAGAA